CAATATGCCAGTTTGCACGACAATACAAAAATATGCATATTTTGTACATATAATTTGTTTGTGTGGTTTAATTTGTGCTCTCTCAGGTAATTGTGTGAATGTAATTTTTTGGTGGCAAGCCTTGAGGAAGCCTGAAGCAGAAGTGCAAAACAAGGAACAGGAAAGAGAGAAAAGAGGGAGATAAATTGATCAAGCTAAGCATCAGCAGATAAAGTACATGAAAGGATAAAAAACAGACATGGGTCCAAAGAAGTGGGCAGTGTGGTGTTTAAGGAGAAGAGGAAACACACTCAGAGATTTTGATAGTAAAAATCATAATAACCAAGTTCTAGGGGAGGAAGAGGAAAGGCTGGGAGAGGATGTGGCCGAGTAAGTAATGTGAAATCGGGGGATAATTTCCTTTTTGTTTGCTTAGAATTAGATCATGATTACAGTAACAACAAATGCAGAAAACATTCAAGACTATTTTCCAGCCAATGTCAAGTCGCTAATGAAACGAGATTGAACAACATCACCTTTGGATTTCAAATGATCGAGGAACCATCGGTGGTCAGTGAGCCAATCTATGCTTTGCACAAGAGGAAGATGTTATATCAGGGTTAACAGAAACATGGGTATGTTTTGATTTTCAGAAATGGTTGATTGTTGGTCTGGTCCATTAAAACCTTTCTAATGGCTACAAGTTGATGGCTTTTACCGCCAGAGGCATAACACAGTCAGTAATGCTGTTAAATGTGTGTGTGTGGGAAAGTGTATTGTTCTACATGGTTGTGTTTTCTTTTTATATAAGAAATCACAACAAGCATTCAAACATTATGTCCTAAATGCATTCATCTGTCTTTCCAGCTCCTGGGGGCATCAGATAGCAAGTGAGCTAATCCAATCACTGAGATATAAATAAGTTTGTTTGAGCTAAAAGTATGAAGAAAGATAAGCAGATAGAGAAAATTCTGTGCTTCGCCTAACTCCAATCTGCCTTTAGAATATGACTGTAGAGAAGATCTTCACAAGCTGTACTCCGAGTTTATGTTTGAATGATTAGTGATTGTAGGTGAGTCCGACTAAAAGACGGACTCACATCTGAGCATCCTTATTGTTGACATGGAAACGGCAAAGACCAATCATCACAGGGTTACACGAGACATCAGCACGCGTTTCTGTTTTCTGAATTTGTTTGCACATGTTCTAAAAAATAAATGTGCAAAGCTTCAATAAAGCAGCGACACTGATACTATTGTGTAAAAACTATACATTTTCCCTTTGGTGGACAATGATGGCTGTTTCTGTTCTACTTACTTATGTCTTCACACACAAGGTTCACTGCATTCTTAGTGATTAGTATGACATGGGTACTAGTATAGTTTGCAGCTATACAAGTCTCAGCTCTTCTATAAAGACTTTCCATAAAACTCTGGAGTGTGTTTGTGGACATTTTTAGTCTTTATTTTAGAAACAAAGTTGTGAGGCCAGATTCTGTTGGGCCAGAAAACTTTGTTCACTGTCCGCTCTCATTCTGAAAGTTTACCTGTAAATATTCACAACCCAAAATTAGAAAGCTTTCTTAGACATTCCCAATTCTCTAAATCCGTTTTCATACATGTTTCTGTATAGACACATATGCACAATGGACCACCGTGTGTCTCGTGTACTGATTGGTGGAAAGCTGTGCACAAGCCTCAACTGGTTGACCTCCATTAGATGAGACACACCTCAGTTCAATACAGTAGCATATACACATTGTGCTGCCTTTCCATTTTATTGACAGATGTAAAAACATTTCTACAGACTGATGTATACCACTGATATAAGTGGTATACAATCATTACTTTGCACCAGTTTCAAGTCAATTAGTCAGATAGTAAAATACATCTGTTAAAAAAGAATGTTTCACTGATGTTTCTTCTGAGATGGACTAGTCACCTGTCCAGTACACTACCTCTTACCCACTGGAGAGATGGACCAGACCCTCTACAACCCTATGGAGAGCAGATATGGATGGATGGATGGATGGATGGATGGATGGATGGATGGATGGATGATGGATGGATGGATGGATGGATGGATGGATGGATGGATGGATGGATGGATGGATGGATGGATGGATGGATGGATGGATGGACGGACGGACGGATGGATTCTCTGACATTTTTTAGAAACTATTTAAGAACTACAATAAAAATAGAAAGTCTGTTTTCTTTTAGCTACCGTTTCCATGCTTTTGTTTCGCTGGTTAAAAAACAACAGACCAGCAGAGTGCTTGTGTGTCTTACATGATGATGTACTACGAATTAAACCAGTCATACATTAAATCCAGTAATGCTCCTGAGTTGCTCCTGGTGGTTTTAGATGCATGTGGTTTCAGGCTGTGTCCTGATGTGCTTAGCTGTTTAGCAGGCCACAACTCATCTACACAGACCCACAGGAGGCCCTGAGGACAAATGAAAGGCCCCAGACAGGCAGGAAACCTCTTGCTCCACCTATAATAGGAAATAAGGCTCCATTAGAGTGTGTAACTGTGGTTTTTGTGCCTCTTTGTTAGTTTTACAGGACTGGATGTAATAAGCCATGGGCTTGTATTCTGAAAAAAAGAATTGTCATTTTATTTTAATGTAGATATCCACTGAATGAATATCGCCAAAATACAGTGATGTGAAAATTATACTCTGTTCGAGCTAAATGTCTGTTAGAATCTCAAAACCACAGGATCTTAGAACCTTGATCTTATTTTTGATTTCAGGTCAAACCCCTAAACAAAGATGATAAGAACAAAACATGAAAACAATGGATCAGATATGGTTAATATTCCTTCACAACCTCTGAGAAAAACAAAAGGTGATTCTGACTCTAGGCTGTACGAGGAGTTGATTGAGAACATACAAGTCCTAAAGGCAGAAACAGACCTGTGATCCAGTCAGACCTACAGAATATCATACAATCCCCCCCCAAAAAAAACAATCATTTATCTCAGCATTCATATGGAGCATTTTCTATGCTGTGTTCTGCATACAAAACAACAGAACAATGGACTTATAAAATCATCAAGGAATATCTAACCAAGTTAATTAGTCACAGTTACTGATCAGTGATTAAACACAAAGGGAGAGCATGCGTGTGTGTGCGTGGACATGTTTGTGTAGGGATAGAAATAGGTTACTCTTATCTATGTCTCATAAAAACATAGCCTAGTCGAAAACAAAGCAGTGCATTAACCGGTCACTATGAATCAATAATTCTCCCATAATGCATTACTGTCATGGGTACATTATGAAGTCATGCCATCTGATTAATATCCTCTGAATGACAGAGGGCCAAACCTCTTTTATTGAAAAGCATGATAAGCTCTCTGGCCCCAGCACTGTAGTTATTTCCAATAATTAACTAAAAGAGAAAAATATGCCCACTATCATGTAATAGGATTTAGTGATCTTTTGTTATTATATTTTAATGCATTTTAAGAGAACTTGCACAGCAGCTCAGACAAGTTTCATCATTTTTCTCTGTAGAATCTTTGTTTTTACTAAAAGAAGTTTATTTGTACAGAAACACTCAGAAACAAAGTCATTCAAGAAAGGGCTTCACAGTAATACAATGAAATCATATAAGAGATATAAAATAAATTTGTCATGGTAGTAGCTGAAGAGGACCAAAATGCAGCAGGCAAAAAACATGAGAATTTAATGTAACAAAGATGAAACCAACTTACAAAAAGGGACTTCAGGAGGACACAAGCAGAGTGCCAAGCTGTGGCACGAACTGGTGACTAAGACCAGAAAGAGACGAGTTTAAAAACTGGGAGGTAGCAGCGACTTGACTGATGAGTAAATTGAGAACAGGTGTGACAGCAGGAGAAAGCTGAGGGGGAGAAGAGAGAGAGGAGGCACAGGGGAACAGAAAATAAGTCAAACACTAACTTACACTAAACAAAAGTGATTCACTAGAACAGAACATAACTAGAAACAAGAAAAACATAACTAAAAACAACAAAAGTGGAAAACAGGGCAAACTGAATAGAGAAACCTAAGGAACACCAAAACTGGCAAAATGAACAAATATCCAAAACCAAACTGAAACAACTCCAGATCCCAACAAAATGAATGTTAATGCATCCAGATTAAAGGTTTTCAGGGCTGAAGGAAACAAAACTCAAACAAATCAACCAAGATATCAGGAAGATTTGTGCAGCTGCTCCAATCTGGTTCATCCTTGGGAATATTTTACTGATGCTGGAGCGTGCTGCATCATGCCAGTACAGACATGATGGGAATGTCCAACCATCTTAATGCTCAGGAAGGAGACAGGTTCTGTGTCCCAGAGGTGAATGGGTTCTAGCCTGAAATGTGCAGATTGACATCAGAACAAAAGTCAAAGATCTGATGAAGATGCTGCTGAAGTTGGTAAGACAGAGTGAAACGTGACTGGTACCATCAGGAGCTAAATAGTCACTCAGAAAGGAACAAGCCTTTACCTTTGATTCTGATCAAATGTGTGTAAATTTCTGGACTCAATGACAGTTACAAAAATATTTCTAAATATTTTCTCGCCACGTTTTCTGTCTTTAAGTAGGCAGAAATAATTTCGGTAATTCTAACTAAGCTAAAACAACCAAAATTTGGTCTGATTTAACTTCAGACAGTGAGAACAACATGTGTTCGTCTTCTGATTCAATATGTAAATATCTGGTTTTAACTGTAAATGGATATCTAAGTAAAAGGTAAATTATGAAAATAATGATAGTTAAAAACTATACATATCATGACCTTAAATATATGGGCTAGTCAATTAAATGATAACACATGAGGTAAAGTAAGTTAATTTGCTTATTTTCAGTGTATTGAATTATTTATTGGATATTTATATACTTCTGCTTTTTTAAATTCTGTTCATTTCTGTCCGCTGTGCCTCATTGGTTGGAAAGCCATGGGCCTTGGTGTGTGGGTGGAGCTAAAAGTTCACCAGATGGTGACAGCAGGGTCTCACAGTGGGAATATCAGCTGAGGCAGAGAGGGAGGGGAGAAATGGAGATGCCAGGATGAATGACAGAAGAGAAAAGCAGAGGGATGGAGTCTGAACCCTTAGATCCCTTTCAGCCATGTAGCCAACCTGGAAGACTGTTCATGTTTTTTTTCTGCAGTGTGTTTGCATTCCTACTGATATGATCCACACAGGACCCATGGACGAGGAGAGGTTCTCTCTGCTGGCGTCTGACCTGTGCTGAGGGAGGAAAGTACCGCTTCTACCAGATAAACTGAGGAAAAGTTCTTTTCATTGTATCCACAGAGAGGAGCAGTGCAGGAAGATGAAGGATGTTAGTGATCCCGACGCGGAGGTCCGGAGAACATGTTCCTTTGATCGGACTGTGAGGATCTGCAGCAGCTGGAAGGTTTTCCTTCTGCTGGTCTGTTTGTTCCACAGCAGCCTGACCTCCCTGCTGGACTGTCCGCCCACCTGCACCTGCTCTTCCACCGAGATCTACTGCAACAAGTCGGACAACAGCAGCATTTCTCAGCTGCTGTCTTTCCACATGACGGGCGCGGAGAATATGAGCGAGAGCATCGTGGACCTTTTCCAGAACATCACCAGCATGTAAGAGTTCTTTTAGACCCAATCCACCAGCAACAGATCATAACTCTGTCTGTTTGTTTGTTTACATCTTCAGAAACAGTGTAAAGAATGGAGAAAGAAAAGTCGAGTTTGGAGGAGTTTACTAAATCACATAAAATTGTTTCAGATTTAATCAATTTGATCTCATTTAGAGTTATGTTGAGAAATCCTTTATTTTGAAATATTACTACATTCTTTAAGGACTCTGCTGATGGGGAGAAAAACACCAACTAAAGGAAACCAAAGCCAGGATGCTCTCCAGTGTCTTCTCTGCTTATAAAGGAATGAGAGTATTAGCCCAACATGGCTCCTGTTAGTTTTCCAGGCTCTCATTTCATTTGGAGAAACATATTCAGGCTTTGAGTTCTTTTCATGAAAAGCTTAAAAAGAAACTATGGTGAAGCTTTTACTCCTATGTTGCAATTTATTATCGCAACAGTTAAAAGAAGAGGGCACCAAACGGAAGACTTTTAGCTGCGCAGATGGTCAAATTTTCCACTTTTGACCTCCATGTTTTCCACAAACTCTCCATTTCAACCAATTGACACGCTCGCCTTTTATTCTCCGGCTTTTTCAATATGGAATATTACTTTCTGAAACGGCACTGAGTATACTGTTTTTGTTCAGGCTGCCATTAAAGAGTCTCACAAAAGAGACCAATACAAATCCAATAAAGCACCAAACAATCAGACTTTTTAACATTTTGTTGAACAGCCATCATTAAATGATTGTTACATGGGAATCAATATTTTTGATTTTATATTAAAAATAACTTTTAAAGTTTGTTTTTAAAATGTCGTATAAAAAGAAAAAAAGGCACATTTAAAAAATAAAATTTAAGGAAACATTTTACGGGCAAAATCTTGGTTCATTTAAATTGTCTTCAATTAATTGAGCTAAAGTCCAGGATTTGCCCCTGTCCAATCTGGACAGCCATCAGTGGTAACATCTACCAGTTTGTCCCATTTTAGTCCCGGCGTCTCCATGGATACATTAACCACTGTGAACTGTTGTAGTGCCTTTCATTGGCCACATGGCTGTCAGATGCTCTGCTAATCAGTGTTTATTAACTAACTTCTCCGTCATAGATTGACTGGAGCTTTATGAAAACATCTTCGTTGTTTCCTCAGTATTAGCCAGTCTTCTGATGCTCATGTACGCTCTATATCGCTCAACCATTGTACTTCCCTCTGTGTTTCCTTTCATAATGGTAGTTGAAGTTGTAATCTTGAAACATCTCTAAGGTCAAGGACAGATTTCAGCAAAAACAGATGTATATTAAAGTCCAGGTCTTGTTTAAAAGCTATGGAAGCGAATCAGGCCCACTTAAAAGTCCTTCTGTACAAAACTCTGCTTCCACATCTAATATTTTTAGTCAACATATGTAGTTGCACAGGGAGAAGCTAACTTCTTGAAAGCGATTCAGCATATTTGCTGGGCCACAAAAGTCCACTGATGACATCAAGAAAGCAGTAGTAGCCTTCAAAATAAAAGTACTTCTCACATCTTTATTAGATTATTAGGATTTACACTTTTCTTACAAACTCATGCCAAAGGTTGTCTGAGCTGACAACCTTTGGATGGATGGTGGCTGTAAAATGCCCAGGTCTACAACAAATAATGAATGAAGTATAATTTGACATAGCATGAAGTTATTGCTGTGACCCATAACAAACTGTCCGCAATGCTGGACACACGCCAACAGTTATGTTATTTTAATATTCACATAATTAACACGGAAATAATACATCATAGATTAAAGACATGTCAAAATCACCACTGCTGTTCATATACTGCTAAAGGACCATTATCAGTTGCTGTGTGAGAACGGTGCTGTTGTTCATTGTCCTGGATCCATACTTCAGTGTTTTATTGTTTAGGTCATTGCTAATTTGGAAAAATAAAGTAAAGATGTTTCTCCAGTTCACAAGTATATAAATTAGTGATCAGACCAGCTGCTTTTGGTTGACGGTTAAGTAGGAACTGTAACATTATTACCTGGTAGAATAGATATCTTTCTAATAAATCAGTAGGTTGGCAGCAGATTTAAGACGTCAAGTTTAAGAGATTCCATATCTCAGTGCAGGGTCAGAGGTCCACTTTTCTATTTTCACAGAACCTCTCCTTGAAAAACTCATTTTCTTTTCAATTAATAAACTAGCTGGTAAAGACAATCATAAAGTAAAGCTTTGACCATTGTTGCTAAAATGTGAAAAAGAAATAAATACCAAAAATCAATAATGACCACCTCTGCAACCTTATAAATGAAGTTACCATCATATTATCAGTGAGAACTTTTGTGAAGTACAACCTCTGAACCTCCTGTCACATGAAGAGCGTTAGCTTCAGCAGAGTTCAGTTATAGAAAGACAGATTTGTTTAGAAGTCATGAATTTATTGAAGATTAAAGAAAACTGCAATCTGACTGAACTGAGTTCCTCTGTGATTTTGGTTTTCCTCCCCATCTAAAGTCATGTGTGATTCTGCCTGAACAGGTTAGTCCAACCCAGGCTGCCCTTTGACCTTCACATGGCTGTGCTGCTAGTTGCTGCAAAAAACCCTAACAACTTTATGTTTACTTTGATAGTATTTTTGGAACCAGTTCGACTAACCTTATTACCGTGCTTTTTGTAAGCAAGTCTGTCTGCATGTGTTTCTGTTAATGTTAATGTGTTTCTAACAGCTTTCAACCAAAGACATTATGACAAGAAATCAATACATGTGGATCAATCCTTTCCTAATGTCAAATTTGAAATGCTATCTATTATAAAAATGAAGAAAAAAATCAATCTGTCCTGTCTTTAATGCATTAATTATGTCAGAGAACTTCAGCTATATATGAACTCATAGATTCCAGATAAATCTGGGCTGTTTAATGGATCAGTGATTGAGGCCTACAGCACTGTTAGCTTTGAATGTTGCACCTCCTTCATCACAGGAACTAACCTTGAATCAGGACAAAAAATATTATTTCTCTTGTTTGGGTGTTTGAGCAATTAATGATCTTATTTCATTTAGCAATTATCAGCAAGTTTATTTTAAAATTGATGAACTGTTAGCATAATTAACTACAGTACATCAGTCCTTTGGATAAGATTCTGTGATCTGATACGCACCATGTTTGGGAATAATACGTAAAAGTATTTGTTTCTCCTTCTTCTTAGAGTCAGTTTTAGCAGTTTTTAATATTATTAATGATTTAATTGTCTATATTGTCTTATAAGTAGTATAAATTTATGACGCATTTATTTATGTATCAGGGAAGGGACTTTCACTTGTTCATTGCAATTATTTAATTACGACTTCAATGTGTTCCAACTCAATTAAACACTTTTTTTTTACATACAAAATCCCGAGCTATGACCTTTGTATTCACAGCTCTAAATAGAGAAGACAAGTGTCTGAAAGACTCTATTGTTGTGTTGAAGTTATGCAAAACGGAGTTCGCCTATCAGCAAAACTATTAATGTAAAACAGCATCTCAATGCTAAACAGCAGCATAGATGTTCCGCATCCACAGTCCCCATTCCTGAAGATATTTTTTAAAAAAGTAAAAAAGAAATTAAAAATTAACTAAGGGTTTCTGCAACATTTTAAAAGAGGCACAATAGCACTTTGCACCAATATGATGGTTGAATAACCCAAATAATTAAGAACAAATCAATATCTTTGTTGTTGAATTCATTTTGTCTTTCTTCAAGAATTTGGCAGTAAAAAAAATGAAAAAGTTCCTTATTTTGTTGATATATTGTTTCTATTAATTTTGATGAATTAATTATAAACCCATCAATTAACACCATTCAAATTTCTATTTGAGTCCCACCACTACTAAATAGTCTCAGGCCATGGCGGGGGCTGAGCCCACAAGCTTGGTTGGTTCTGAAATCTGTTAGCTCTGGTGCTGCCTCTCAGATAAATTAAGACAAATATAATAATAATTAATACCTAGAATTAGTTTTCAGAATCTAAAGTTTCTTCTATTTCTGGATTTTTAAGTGAATAACAGGAGGTTTTTACTTTCTCTTAGTTCAATTTTGTGTTTTTTCCCTGCAGATACCTTGAGAACTGGATAGGTCTGAAAGCATTGAAAGATGTGGACATGGAGCTGTACCCTGGCTTACAGAGACTGTAAGTACTAAAGTATTTGTACACATGTTTCCTTATGCAGAATTACATTGTTTGTGTTTTAAATAAACCCCCAGCTGACATTTTTAAAATCATTTTTCTTTGCCTCCCTTTATCTGTTTTTTTTTGTTTTTTTGTTTGTTTCTGAAAGTGAGCTTGATGACTAGAAATACATTTAACTTCTCTTTGGGATCAATAAAGTATTTTTGAATATGAATTTGAATTGAACTGAAGTGACTCGGCCGTCTGCTCCTGTTAGAGATGTCTTGAGGTTCATTCAGATGAACCTCTGAAGCTCAACCTGTGCTGGTGTCTCTGTTTCGACAGAAGAGCCGTTCTCCAGAGAGCCTTTAAAAGGGAGCCATGTTAGTTTAGGTTTATAACATTACTTCATGATTTCTAACATTTAACATGCTAACTGAGGCCTATCAAGCCAGAGATAATTTATTGTATGAACAGGTGCGTGATCTGTCTTTTTTCAAATGTGTTTTGAACAGAACTATCACCCGTAGCAGCCTGCACACACTCCATCCTCGGGTTTTCTCCAAGAACCTCAACTTGCGCTACATGTGAGTCCACAGAGTCCTGCTGTCCCTTCTGAACTTTGGAGCAACATGATGCTTTTGCTTCACTTCAATGGATGTTTTTGTTTCAGTGATGCTGCATTATTTATGAGATTTGCAAATGTATTTCATTTCCTCAAACTTCTTCACATTTGTAAAATGCTGAACTGTAAAGTGGAAAAAAGTGACTTACATCTAAAAATTCTGCCCCCTTTCTGTGAAACCTTAAATAACATTCAGTCCAACCATTTGCCTTCAGATGTCCCCTGATTAGTAAACAGGAAATTTATGACCAATCCAATTGAAATAATTTTGACCACCCAACAGCGATCAAAGCAATATTCTATTTTTTTTAATGATTTTTTTTCTACTTGTTTTTTAAATATTAACTTTCACATTTCTGCCATGTGCACCTTTTCAGTCCCTGCCTTTTTTTCGATTTCTCCCTTAGAAACTTGTCAATGAACCCCATGTTGAAGACACTGTCCTGGCATGTCTTTGAACATCTGCAGCTCACAGCACTGTAAGTCAGCCCGGGGTTTGTTTTTTTCACTGACCTGCTGTTAGTGCACCTACATGATTACTCTGACTCAGTCCTCCTGCCTTATATGCTATAACTAATGTCAGGCCCTGATCCAAACACAAAACATATTTATTCAGTCAAGTTCAGGATGAAACCAAGCTAGCATCTTGGGCTCACATTTCTAAAATATATATTTGACACAAAGATAACACTGAGGATTACCTCAGTGTTATCCTCAGAATATGGTGTCAAGAATACCAGCATTAAACTTCCCCTAGTAGATCAACACAAATAAAAGCAAATATGTTTGAAATGAATTTTATGCATAGAAAGCAATATATAAAATTCATCAGTAGGTGGATGAATCTCTCACAGGCATACAAATATTTAGTCAGATAAAATCTTTTCCCATTTTGCTACAGACAGACAGCTGACTCATCCTAATGTGTCAAAGACAGTTCTTCCATTTATGGTTGAATTGAAAAACCCACATTGAGTCCCTTCAAATTTAATATGCACCTGTCCATTTTTCCCGTGTTAAGAAAACTTGATAAAGTCTTTCGTTAATCTTGCCCTCTTCAGTGAGAGCCTTATCACAAAACTGACTGGAAATAATTTGGAGGCTGCAACTAATGTTATTTTGTTTGGGAATATGTTTAGCTTTGCACTGATTTGCAGTGACTGCTGTACCTGCAGGCATCTGGAGGGAGTGGTGTTTTCCTGCGGGTGTGAGATCCGCTGGCTGCAGCTGTGGCAGCAGAGAGGAGAAGCAGGCCTGAGCAGCCAGCAGCTGACGTGCTCCACCGGACAAACACACATCCTGCTGCTGGACATGAACGTCACCAACTGTGGTGAGAAAAGTCTCAAATCAAATAGAGTCAAATTTAAACAAACTTTTCCATTCATCTTGATTGTAAATAGAGTTTAAAATAAATGACTGAATGACACAATTATTATGAACTTCAATGTCCACGATTGTAGTTTTGAAAAACCTTAAAAAAGGGAAAGTAAGTTTGTCTCTGTGCACCTGAGCAAAATATCCCAGTTTAATCCAGATCAGGTGTTTCATAATTTGCGAACTCAACCTCTGCTTCTCTGTTCCAGACCTGCCAGTGGTCAGCGTCAGTCACAGCAACCTGACAGTTGTGGAAGGTAACAATGTCACAGTGATCTGCAACGGCTCTGCACTGCCAATACCTGAGGTGGACTGGGCTGTCAATGGCTTACACTCCATCACCACACAACAGGTAGGCAGAATGCAACCAGCAGAGAGTGCATTCATTACAGAGGGGGGTATTATTTCATATACCACTGATTTTCCTAGTTTCTCCACTTGCAAAGGATTGAGAGATCTCTCAATCCATCATAGAAACACCTCAACTGTGAGACAGAGCCAAAAACAAAACAAAAAAATTACAAAAAATCAATAATCATTCTGTGTAATTTTCAATGAACTGATTAGCATTTTATTGCATGAAATAAGCATTTGATACAATAGAAAAGCGGTTACTTAATACATAATTATACCAGGTAAAACATTAAGGGCAATTTCTTAATGAACGTGTTAAAACATGTAAAAAGGGAAGTACAACATTTACATGCACTGAGTAAAGTGTTCATTCTGCAAAATGATTACTTGACTCCTTTAAAAGGTCCTTCAGTCTGTGATTAATAGCAAGAAATGAAATCAGTGTTGAGATGTTATTTTGATGAAAATTCTAATGATTTGCAGCAGCAAAACAGAAAGACGTGAGGCCTGAAGAGTTTTAGGGATTTTCAGTTTAGTACATTAGGAGTGAGTATTGTATCTAGAGGATTTTAGTAACTGGATTAAATAAGCAGGTGAAAGACCCAGCAAGGTTTAATAAATGAACAAGAGCCAGTAGATGTTATGACGAGGCTGCAGTGAAAGCCAGTTAACCTCAGAGAACAACAGACAGTGATGTGTTTTATAAGTGGCTCTAATAAATTTGGTAATAAATAGAACTTATTTGTTACATAAATCCTTGTTCTTCATTAGTTTCATGCAGATCCTGCATGGTCACTGCATGTGACCTTCATTATTCTGCTCCCTGTCTGTGATACATACAGCTGCATACATGCTGACAAAAGACAGAGATGATGACACGCCTGTAACATGTTAACTGGTGGATTCTGAGAAGCGTGGTTAAAAAAGACACATTCTAACCAAGAAAGGTGCCTGTCTGCCCCAAGATCTGGCCAATAACATATCAGTTTAAAAAAAACCTGTTGCTGACTATCTTTATTCAGGCCCTGCTTATGCTTTCAGTCTTTTTTCCCTTTTATGAATATCTCTTGTCTCGTAATTCCTTACACTGTATCATTTTCTCTTGAGAGAATTCACTGGGATGCATTTTTTCCTCAATTTCTCACTTCAAAATGGAACACATTCATTTTATTCTAAACACAATATTCTACACACGCAATATTCCCTAAAGGCAAAGTGAAAAAAGTTGGAATGTTTGCCCATCTATAACACAAAACAACATGTAAGCAGATATTTTGTGTTTTGTTGGATAAGATCCAAAGATTTACACGTCAACACTAAAAAAGACAGGAGGTTTGAATGTCCGGCTCTGCATTAGACTTTTCATTTCTGTTTCAAGTAATTAAAACAGTAATGAAATCCCACTTCCCAAAAGATGTCACCCATTTCAGAAACCCCTGCCTGTTGCGTGGTTCAATGCTAGTCTTATTGGGGGCACAGATGGTGCAGGTGTGAATGTGACAAAATGTACAAAACAGGTTTGATTAACTTATGATTACCACCATCCAGGATGAAGTTAAACAGGAAAAGCATGAAACTCACTTTGAATTTTCGACCTGTTTTCAGTTAAGTGTCTGATACACCAAACTCCTACCAGAGCATCAGTCATTGAACCTCTCAGAACATTTGCACTTTGATAACATTTACCCAGATATGATTTTATTGATATAGCTTTGATTCAGTCAGTGCTGCATGAATGTGAGCATGCTGTGGATCCTGAACGTTTCAGAGGTTTTTGTCAATCTGCTGGTGTTCTTGTTTTTTGCTGTCCTTTCAGGATGAAGTGTATGACAACAGTATTCACTCCATCACCATAACACTGGCCAACGTGAAAAGGGAGGACAACAATTTCTGGCTAAATTGCACCGCCAACAACGTCGTAGGCTTCGCTAATGCTTCTGTTCACCTAATCGTTCACTGTAAGTTGACACATAAGACAGACACAGAGACCAGACTGAGGATCCAACACTGTTCTGAGTTGTGTGAATAAGTTGATATGTATCAGAATTGACTGGGGACAAACTATGTAACTGCTATGAGTGAGTGGAATTGGAAGTTCAAATCGCCACATGGGATAGACTGATAAAAACATGTTTTTTTGTTCATAATCTATTTATTAGTTTGGATTCAAAAGTCACTTTTGAATTATTATATCATATTTTGACCAAAAGAAGTTCCAAGTCATATTAGTGTATAGAATTTATAATGAGCAAATTCAAAAATTTTAGAAATTATTTCTGTAGCCTGTTCCTGAAAATGAATGAAGGCTTGGATGTATGTTGGTCAAAAGTTTGCAGTGAAAAACATTTGGGATGTACCATCATTTATTTTGACTTATCTTGAGTGGTTGGATGTCAAAAAAGTTGAGATTTTCAGTTTTATTATTCTCATTAAACAAACTCTCATTGTGTAGAGTTTTAAAGACAGGAAGAATGTGTTTTTCTCTGCTTTCAGGGCACACTGTCCAAAACAGTGACCAGAACAGGAACCTTTCAAATCAGTAGCAAGAACTGTTGTGTCCAGTGCATGATCCCTGTTCAAATCATTCTTTGCATTCATAAATAAATTAGGAAATGAAGGAAAGTGAATTTTTTATCAAGAGTGTAAACAATTTCATAAGCTTTGTGTGAATTAAAATCAACACTGGTCCTCTTTCCCTGTGTCTCTTTAGTCCCTCCGTCCATTCAGAAGCTTAAGGAGCCAGAACGCCGCCATGACACATGTATAGAGTTTACTGTTCGGGGTTCGCCTCATCCAATCTTAAGATGGTTTCATGAAAATGAGGTATGACAGATTTCATTGTAAGTCATTTATCTATTAGACCACTGTGTGGTGGCCCTTGGACAGGCTCTGTGTTTCCCTTCGAGCACGGGAATGCTCTGAGGTCTGTCAGTCACTTGTGGAATATCATCAGGGAGAGGAATGTCTGTGTTTACTTCCATCTCAGATAAGTGGAAAAAAGCATTTGGGAAAAAAACTCTACTGATGTGTTCATCTGGTTTGACTTCCTATCTAAGCAAAGATTCTGTCAAGAAACAAAAAGTATGAAAGTGTCAACAAAGGCTGTTCATTTACATTACTTTGCAATAAACCCACTCTCCACAATTGACTGTTAACAGGAATATCTGAGAAGGTGTGTAGACAAACACTGTTGAGTCAAAAAAAATTATTTGTCTTGAGAGCTTTGTCTGGCTCACCTAGCAAGAAATATAGAATTTTATATGATATTCTTGTCCCATTTTTCTGCAAGGTTGTGAGGGTCTGGTTTGGGAACCTTTACCATGGAATCATCTGTGAACCTTGAACTTTACAGGAATAATTATATAGTACATATTTTAGGTCTTAATAGCTACTAGATGCAATTGGTCAGTGTGGTCATATGGTGCACTCAGTGCAGTCGTGACACCTCATCACAGGGCAGGGCAGGGCAGGACCAGATGTGGCTATTGGTGATTTTGTGCATATTTCCAGAACAGGTGACATGCAGGGTGCAGTGAACCAGACAAGGCTGATCAAATCCATCATATTACGATGCAAGTCTTGAAGACATTTAATCAAAAATGATCTAGAGCAATGTAGTGTTTTGAAAACAATAAAAGTGAGAAACTGAACAGTGTCCCTGCAGATGTCAATCTATCCGATTATATAAGAGCTACTGGCATGTTTTCTCTCCACCAGTGGATGTGTTTTCCTCTGAAGTAATTCTATTCTATTCTATTCTATTCTATTCTATTCTATTCTATTCTATTCTATTCTATTCTATTCTCTCAGGAAATTTCACACAATGAGTACATCCGCCAGGATATGGACATTTACAACGACGACTTGGAGGGTTGCCTTCTTTTTAAAAACCCAACGCACTACAATAATGGCAACTACACTTTGAAAGCAACCAACTATCTAGGTCAGGTCAACAGAACAGTGTATGGACACTTCCTCGAAATGCCCCCTCCTGGTAAGCTGGTAACATCCAGAGCTTGTTATCATTATGGCAGGAAACTTAGTACAATTAATATATTTGCATTCCTTTAACATTGACATATGTACAATCAATGAACTTGACTGTGCGTAACATCAATTTGTTATGTAAATGTTATGTAAATGTAACAGTTACCAACGGATTACAGACATTTTGAACGCATATGAAATGACGGATAACTGGGGCGACGGCAGTAGGAGTTTGCCTTGCAGCCGGTGGGCTGCTGGTTCAATTCCCACTTCTTCCGCCTCTGTGTCCTGGGGCAAGATACCTAACACCTGGAACTTTACAGCTCCCATTACAAGCAGTGTGATATCTCTGAGAAGTGTCTTAGAGCTTATTTTGTTGTCTTGATGTAAATATTTGCGGAGTATGTACACTGCCTTACAGTTTGCATTTGTCTTATCTATTTGCTTCTTCAATGGATTCAGATTATGATTATGGTAAGTACCTTCTAATGTCAATCCTACTATGTTATGTTTTTGGTACAAATTTCTAAGCCATGTCAAAATTACCTGACTGCTGTCAGGTAGTTCCAGTAGTTTAGTGGTCGACGTAGTAAGTTTTTTCCCCAACTGTTTTACTTGTCATCATTTTAGCATGGCAGACAAATTATTTTCAAAACTGGCTCTCTTTATACATTGTTTTATCTTTCAAACAAAGTATAAACATGTATTTCTGATTAAGAATACATGTCTCATTTTAAGTCAGACACTAAGTTATTTGTTGAATGAAAACAAAACATCTAATTTGTTTGTTTTCAGTGGATTTTTTTTCCTCTTGATTACCGTTTCATATTATTGATTATGAAACTCGGGATGAACCTTAGACTGAACAGGACTTTTTTATTTTGACAGTTTAGCAGATTAAAATCTCATTGATTTCCAGCCACAGGTTCAAAATATTAACCACTTTGTTCTCATTTTTGCCTTGTGGCACAATGATATGTCATACTAGAAAACACACATCATTACAACATTGTCCCTAGTTGCTAAAGGATGTCTGTTACTGTGCAAGAGCCAGCCCCGTCCTCACCTCACAACTCCCTTCAAGCCAGTTTTCACAGCAGGGACGATGTCTTATTCCTGTCCTTTGTACATTTCATACATATGTTCATATGCCCCTCGGCCATAACATTACTTAATTTTGAAAATGAAGCTGCCATCAGCCATCTGTGGATGAATCACATCTATAATAATAAGAAGTAATATTTAGACTCACTCATCAACCTAACCAGGATAAATAGAAAAGGCATCAAAATGTCTCACCTCTATTAAATGTTATCCAACAGAGGTGAGATTATAACCACCAAAGACACAACTCCATCAAGAAGAAATAACAAAAGAAGTCCAAGAAATACCAATTGTTCAGACAGGATAGAGGATTTGTGGAGAGTCAAGGTCTCAGTTTTGTTAGTGGAAAATTTGGAGGTGTAAATTCCAGAAACAACCTGAGGTCTCAGTAAAAAAAGAGGTAGTGTTCATTCCATTTGAATGAATAAAGATAAATGCAGTTCTATCTTGGTCTAACGCTGTTGGGTTCTTAGTATTTTTGCAGAAGTTCTGAGCAGAAAACTTTGCCTTTCTTTCCAGGAACCCCAACTGCAGAGACTCACAAACCTTTGGAAGATCCTTTTGGGGTGAGTTACACAAGTAAAACATCATTGCCTCAAACTTTGAATGTGTTTTAAATAACCGCCACAGAAGAAAGAGCAAAGACTTCAAAATGTTGACATCGTAAAACATATTGATCAAGACAATTTTTCAAAAAAATTAAATTCAGATGTTAGGTGTCAGTTTCTTTACTGCTGCCTGTCATCACATGCGTTGTAACTCACTTTGGCCAAGTTGCTGTATTAACAAAGCTGCTCAAACAAATGGATTTGGGAGAAATGACTCAAAGGAAGTGCAGACCCAGGACACTCACGTCAGAACAGCAAAGTTTGTGTTCGCAACTGATTTCTCTCTTTACCATAAACTGTATGTTAGTGTGCATATTTGATACGGTTTTGAAAAATGTTTGTTCTTTATTCAATGTAGTTAAGTGGCCAGACTAGTATCCAGAAATTCTACTCAAAAAGAGTAGCGATACTTTATAGAAGTATTTTTCCAAATGTGCAATCAAGTTACTCAAACAAATGTAACTGATTAAAAGTAATTGCTGTTTTATTTAAAAATTATTTTTTTTGCTTTTCAATATTATTTTTATGCTCACATTAACGTCAAGAATCTTTATGTGGGCCTGACTCAAATCCACATGAATTTGACTCGTGGATTGAGAGCTGGCATTGTTCCTGCAGGTCTCCATGGCTGTAGGCTTGGCAGTGTTTGCCTGTGTAATCCTCGTGGTTCTCTTTGTTTTGATCAACAAGTATGGACGACGTTCCAAATTTATCATTAAAGGTGAGTGTTGTCCATTTCACAAGGAAGTCATCAATGATGTGTGTCCATAGAAAAAAAATAGAAAATTGGTTTTGAACTGTTAATAAAATGTTGCTTTTATTGTAACTTCACTATTAAGCATTCTGAATTAAATGAATACTAAATAGATATAAATTTTATTTAGTTGTTTTAATATTTAAGTGTTTCTTTGAAAGTCTCATCTGTCAAACAGCAAAAACCCAATATTTACCTACACTGTATTTTGTATATTTTGTTTTATTGTCTGCTGTTACATACAGTGGTGACTGCATGCATGTTTCTCTCTTTCAGGTTGCTGCTGAGCTCCTGCTGCATAAGAAGGCACAGTTGGTTCCTCTCTGCCTCAAGGAGCACAGCAGAAAGCTGCATGTGGAACTGACCTCTGGGCATCTTGGGCAGCATGTGTGTTGCAGCTTTTTGGCGATGGTTTGTGTGTTGCAGGAAACTTCCTTAACCCAGGGTGAGCTCCCCAAGCTTTTGAGGAGTGAAGTCTAAGAGTTGTAGACAACTGGTTGTTCCAGCTGTAGCTGAGTGGGGCCTTGTTAGTGACAGTGATCGGTCCACTGTCACTCACCAGATTGAAACCCTGAATTGTCACCAAGGACCCATTTTCCTTCCACCCACTCCACCAACTACCATCAAAGCTCCAAAAAGCTGCAACACACATGGTGAAAAGGTCCAGAGATCAGTTGCACACCCAGCTTTCTATTCAGTTCATTAAGAGGCAGAGTGAAACCAGCGGTGCCTGCTTCAGCTGCAAGAGCTCAGCAGCAGCTGGAACCACTGCATGCAACATGCGTCATGAAACCAGACCTCCATTTGAGTGCATGACTGAGAATTTATTGCAACCTTTTTCAAATTCTATTTTTAGTTTTTGGTTAGCATTTGTTAGAATTGCTTTTTAAACGGAATGGTATTAGACAAAGGGAGACAGATGAAAATGAGATATTCAATTGCTACAAACAGATTTAATGAACTTTTAAAAATTCTAAAATTAGTCATGTCTTGTGCCTCATTGTAGAAATAGTCAGCTGTTCATAGTATTCTTGGTTTATGCTGCCTATAAGGTAAAAACGGGACCTGAAAAGCATGGAAACCGGAGCTGGGCTAATATCACAACAGTCTCATCATGCCTTGGATACCAAATGAAATCCTCCCTCTGTGTCTCTCTCCAGGCCCAGGAGCAGTGATGAGTGGGGAAGAAAACTCTGCCAGTCCGCTCCATCATGTAAATCATGGCGTGATAAGCCCCTGTGCTCTGGATGTTGGGTTAGATTCCGTGGTGATTGGCATGTCCAGGATCCCCATTATAGAGAATCCACAGTACTTCAGACATGGACACAACGGTACCAAACCAACCACTTGTAAGTAAAAGCTTCTCAAAGCATTTTTAATCAGAACACATGCAGTCTGAACAAGAAATTGATCTTTAGACCAGTGTTCAAAATTTGGACTTGTGTCCTACTGTCACATAATCTTCACACTTGATTCAGATTTGTGCCTTGAAGACTGGAGACTTAACTTGGACTTGTTCTGGGATTTGTGTCTTGTTGCCACTCTTTATCTCATATTATCAGGAATGAAAGGAAGCTACTACTTCATACCAGCTGGTGGTTTGTAACAGCATTTCACTGATAACTTTAGTTTAAGGGCAAAACAAACATAATTTACAGTGACTTTTCCAAACAAATATATTTCATAGGAATTTTATCTGAAAGACCAAAAGGAAGTGGTATGCAATTGTGAAGTAGAAAGAAAATTAAACATAATTCAAAATAGATTATTTTTATTTTTTTACAAATAAAACACCGAAGAGTGGTGGGTGTAAAAGTATTCAGTCTCTTTGAGTCAATACTTTGTGAATCTGCCTTTGGCTGCAACTGCAGCTGCTAGTCTTTAGGGTTTGTCTACCAACTTTGCATGTAAAGTGACTGAAATTTCTGATCATTGTCCTTTACCAAACAGCTCAAGTTCAGTCCGATTAGCTGGAGAGCATTTGGAAACTGCAGTTCAATTTCATCCCCGCTGACTGCCAGATCATTCTTTCACATGCGCAGGTTGAGTGTCAATCACAACAAAGTCACCTGTCACCTGCCAGTGAGCCAAGAGACTATATAGTCACATGACACCCGGTACTCAGACACTTTTGATCTTCACATGTATTGAGTGCAGTTGTGATTTTTGCTAACCTGGTAGCTGCTGTGTTTACCACTGTTCTCCTATCTGCTTGTTGATATTCACCCGATACATGGCAGCGGCTTTCTCTCCTGTGCAGACTGAAGGAGACTGGCTCATATGTGCAGCAACAAGGGATCAGGTGGTTCGAGACACTCGGTTAGTGCTCAGTCATGTGTGATGCCTGGGCTTGCAGGTGAACATGGAAAAAAGCAGTCTGACTGCTCCACAAGAGATAATCTTGTTTTTCTGGCATTTCTAAGTTTTCTTCCAGGCTTGAAAAACAAGCATGCCCTGCTGAGGTCAGACAACAACCCTGTCGTTTTTCATGACAAACCACCAGGGATGGATCAGATCAAGGAAACTGTTGTGCTTGACTCATCTGCTTCTGATCTGGGCAGCTCCAGACTTTGCGTGCCTCAGGGCAGCTCCAGACTTTGCCTGCCTCAGGGCAGTCTACATCCCAGGGCCACAGAATCCTAACCCTGATTGTCAGGGTTCCTTTGGTGGCCCCTTTCTGGCCGGTGAGGACTTTCCTCTAATGTGCGAACCGCACATCAGAGGAAATGTGCATCTGCCCTACAATAGGAAGGCTAGGGTCCACTTTCTCAAAGTACAACGGTTAATGCATGGGCTGTGTCCACACGAGCTGTCCGTGCTAACACACAGGCAGTCTTTGTGACTTGATGCCATGATAAAGAGCAGGACCTTGTGCAGTGTTCAGTCTCTGCCACACTGGCCTTCCTGCAGGCATTACTGGATCAGGGACAGTCTCCATCTACCTTGCGGCTGCTATTTTCTCTCAACATATAGGACTGAATGGTTGTTTGATGGGCTGAGACAAGGACATTGTGCTGTTCTTGAGAGGTGCTCAGATTTGCAGCCACCCAACCTGTGGCACTGACCTGGGATCTTTGTCTGGTGCTACTTTTTGGCAAAGCATGTGGGAGAATTGAAGGTTCTCTTGATAGCTGAGCTCAGATGTTCACCAAACACCTGAGTCATAAGGTAATGTCAATACATAAGATGTCACTGGCAGCAGGCAGTACCCAGCCACTCCCCATGCCTGCCCGGTTTGACACTGGAGGTCTCTCTGAACCTCTATGGCCTGTTTGTACTCTTGAGACATACATCAAATTCCATGTGTCTTTCTCAAAGACAAATGACAAATACCTGCTACACAAAACAGCAGCAGCTTGCACACTTGGATTTGATCTCTAAGGCTTATGCCTTGCAGGATCTGCCACTGCCAGCAGGTGTGAGCTGCTACTCTACAAGGAGCATGCTGACTTCATTTGCTGTCATGACTGGGATGCCATTGGACATTATATCCCTTGTGGCCTCCTTGAAATCATTTATCACATTTGCAAGGTTTTACCACCAAAGACTGGTTACATCTGGAGTGAGTTATTCTATATTATTTAGCATTTCATCGAGAGAGATGCGTGTTTGCATTTCAACATGACATGCATGGATACTTTGCCAGTCCACAAATGAGAATATACAGCGAAAAACTTCTACTTAATATGTCAAAAACCAGAGACACTTTGAGATTTTTAAGGCAATGTACTCAGTTACCTTCTATCTTTCTCAGATGTTCAACATATTAAACGTCGGGATATCATTTTGAAGAGGGAGCTCGGTGAAGGTGCCTTTGGAAAGGTCTTCCTGGCTGAATGTTACAACTTAAGTCCAACCAAGGATAAAATGCTGGTAGCTGTGAAGGTAAGACCAGAGTGTGTGTTTCAGCATCAGAGGAGTTTAACCTTCTGAAACCAGGACAGTCTGGAGTATTTTGGAAACAAACCTACAGATGTTTGCTCTCTGAACAATTAGCAAAGCTAATCAAGATTACTATTGACATGTGAGCTCCATGTTCACAACTGGACAACTCCATTAAATTCTTTTTTTTTACTACTAATTATTACATATTGAAAATGTTTTAGCTTAAAAAAATATCTAAGTGCACTTTAAATTTAAGGTGGCGCAGATGGTAGAACTGTTGCCTTGCTGCAAGAAGGTCCTGGGTTTGATTCCTGGCCCAGGGTCTTTCTGCATGGAGTTTGCATGTTCTCCCTGTGCGTGCGTGGGTTCTCTCTGAGTACCCCAGCTCTCTCCCACGGTCTAAAAACATGACTGTCAGGTTAATTGGTCTCTCCAAATTCTCCCTAGGTGTGAGTGTCTGTGTGCATGGTTGCTTGTCTTGTCTGTTTCTGTGTTGCCCTGTGACAGACTGGCGACCTGTCCAGGGTGAACCCCGCCTCTCACCCGGAACGTAGCTGGAGATAGACACCAGCACCTCCCGACCCCGTTAGGGAAAAGGGTGAACAGAAAATGGATGGATGGACACTTTAAATTTACTTTTGTCTTTTAAGGTCTTGTACATTTCGTGTGTGAAGCATTGTGATTAGACTTTGTTTTGTCTTTGACCAGGTTAATATGTATGTTCTCTGGGTTGTGGGTTGTTGATGTGCCAACAAGAATTCTGTCCATCTTTATATTTCCACAGTGTCCTCAGGCTTTTTGTCGCATTTCTCATTTTCTTGCTCTCCGGAGAATTTTGTTTTAAACAGTGACCATATATTTATTTTCCAGTGCTCACTCTGCTCATCGTCAACACTGTGCTCACACTGAGTATTTTGGAAATGCTGCATCTCTTGCTGTTTCCAGACTCTAAAGGATCCCACACTTGCAGCTAGGAAGGACTTCCAGCATGAGGCAGAGCTGCTGACCAACCTGCAGCACGAACACATAGTCAAGTTCTATGGAGTGTGTGTGGATGGAGACCCTCTCATCATGGTTTTTGAATACATGAAGCACGGAGATCTCAACAAGTTTCTCAGGTCAGTGATGCAGTCTACTAAACGCTGAGCTTTAATGAAAATTCTTGTGAACATAATTATGCAGCTTATAGAAGTTGTTTATGCTACTATTCTAAAAATTATAAGAAGAACTATTTGCTTTTTCCTGATTTTGAAACTAAATGGTTCAGTTACATCTTAATGCAATTATATTTATATTATTATCAAATAAATTAAAAACAGCATCATTGCTGTTTTTAATCACAGCAATAATGTAATTGGTTACATTATTGCACATTCCTACATGTCACGAATGAAACAAGTAGAAATAAACAGCATTATTCCTACATAATGCATTCCTTAAATTAAAAACAGCATTAATGCTGTTTTTAATTTAAGCATTAATTCTTAAAAACAGCATTAATGCTGTTTTTAATTTAAGTATTATTATTGTTATTTGATTATTGCATTTGAATGCATAAAAAAGTTTCTGTTCTTGGTATAAATAATTTTGATAGTATCTGATGCTTTTAGATCTGCATTACGTTCTAAAAATGCTTCAGATTGTAAGAAACACCACATCTTAAGCCCGAGTAACAATGAAAAGATTTACAACGGTGAAACTGTCCCCTCAGAGCCCATGGACCAGATGCCACAATCCTTGTAGATGGGCAGCCTCTTCAGACCAACGGGGAGCTGGGTCTGTCCCAGATGCTTCACATAGCGAGTCAGATCGCAGGGGGGATGATCTACCTGGCATCCCAGCACTTTGTCCACCGTGATCTGGCAACAAGGAACTGTTTGGTGGGGAATGGCCTCCTGGTGAAAATAGGAGATTTTGGGATGTCCAGAGACATTTACAGCACAGATTACTACAGGGTAAGAACACACTTGAATTTTCCCCACAACTCTCACTCACTTTGATATATTTAATCAAATCAAATACAATGAAAGAACCTATAAATATTGTTTTGTTTTTTAAACTGGTCTTTTTAAACACATATCGTATAAGTTAATTCAAATCAAAACGTAACTTTTGCTTTACAATTTTTTATATTCATAAACCTACTTGTTTAGGTTGGAGGTCACACCATGCTTCCCATTCGCTGGATGCCCCCAGAGAGCATCATGTATAGGAAATTCACCACAGAGAGCGATGTCTGGAGCTTTGGGGTTATTCTGTGGGAGATCTTCACATATGGCAAACAGCCGTGGTTTCAGCTCGCCAACAATGAGGTACAGTACACACAGTTAAATTAGATACATTTGGATTAGTTTTTTGTTTTTTGTCTTGCATTCCTCTTTGTTTTTTCAACTACCTTTTTGTCCTTTTCAGGTTATTGAATGCATTACCCAGGGCAGGGTACTAGAGCGCCCAAGAGTCTGTCCAAAGGAAGTCTATGACATCATGCTGGGCTGCTGGCAAAGGGAGCCACAGCAGCGCCTCATCATTAAAGACATTCAGAAGAAGCTTTTGGCCTTGATGAAATCCACACCAGTTTATCTGGACATATTGGGATGAGAAAAGGGTTCAAATGTAACCCTGGAGGCAAAGGAACAAAACTCTCATACAAGACCCCAGTCAATTCAACATGTACAGCAGGATAAAGACTCACATCTGCTCTGCATCTGTTTTACTTAATAGAAGCCAAACTACCTTAAATAATCCTGGAAATTAGGTAGACCAAAAAGACCCTAACACTCATACAAAATATATTGTAGATTTGTTTTCATTTTTTACATGAACTCAAAGCATAAGATAAATTTAGAACTTCACATTGTAACAAACTGGAGGTAAGTTTGTCAATAATATTGCCCTAGTCTGGATTTTTAAAACCATTTTGAATAAATTGCTCCACCCACATGCATAGGTTATTGCAGCATTATTGCTTTTTCAGTCCTGACCTACAGTAGTCATTTTTGTAGTTTGGTGATTTGTGAGATATACTGTCATAGATGTCACTGTATGTGCCTACATGTTAATCAGAATTCATTTTTTCCACACTCTGTTGTGTTCAGTACTCGATATTACAGTACTTTGTCATTTTATATGCATAATAATAAAAAGATTACATGCACTAAACTCAAATAACGTTGGTCTTCAGTCTGGTGATTCTATAGCTGCATGAAGGACAGGATTGAATAGTTCTTGAAGATGGCAGAAGGTTATTCTTAAAATAAAAACATATTCTTTCTGTATAAAAATTTATTTTCAAAATGAAAGTGAGATCCTGGTGAGCTCAACATTTTACCTTCATGACAGAAAAATCTCAATACATATTTTAAAACTGAGAAACCATTAGTAAATATCAACTTTGCTGATTACATTGCATTTTGGCAACATGGCATTGGAGATGTTCAGGAAAGTAAAGTTTTTGCACACAAATGTACCATCCATCTCCCCACTTTAACATGATATTACTATACTTTGAAGTAATATTTTCGACATTATACACATAATGTAAACGTGCATGATGTACATACATGACAAACAATTTGCATATTCTGTGTACATAATTTGTATAATGTTGCACACGTTATGAATAAATATAATGTGTATACATTGTCCAAATGTAAGAAACATTTGGGCCATAATTCTTGATTGCATGTTGTTCAGGTTTAGTGTCAGGACATAACCACATTATGAGGCTTTGCATGCCTGCCTCAGTGCACAGCACTGTGTGTGACTCCAAATCCCACAAGTCACTGCACTTTATATTTTACTTTAAAAGGTGTGGAGCTTATAAGCGAACCATTGCACCAGGATTTTGTGCAACTAACAGCACTGTCCGCATACTGTCTTCCTGCTGCCATGGTAACAAGCATCACTCAGATCTATTCTTTCTTTAGCACTTTGTTAATTTTGAGGACAATGATGTGCAATTTACATAATTAAACACAAATTTTACTGTTGGAAAATATATGTTCTGCCAGATATGAAGCTGTGAAATCCTGTCAATTTTATTCATTTGTCTTTATGTTCTTGTTCAACTGAGAACAACACAATATTGTTTTAGAGGCGACCGTCACCGTACTGTCATATTCAATAAATTAGAATATGTATTCTAATGAGGGTTGTTAGCTAAAAAGTACCTTTTGAAAATACCTTAAAAGCAGGTATGAAGAATACTTTTCATTAAGCTGACATTTCTGTATTAAAAATATTTGTTGATTGGTCTGATGTCATATTCTAACTTTTGATGTCTTTTTGTAGCTTAAAGTGGAACATTTTAACAGAAATAAAGGCTTTCAAATGTCCATCTGTGTAATTAATCTATATTATGTCTTTAAATAAAGGAACTTTTCAATAACATTGTAATTTATTCAATGGGTCTGCATTTTTTTTAACTCTATAGAGAATTTGCTGAGCCTGAAAAGCTTTCCAGTAACTATGGCAAATCGTTATTTATTTAGTTCCTAATACAACAAGTAAATATGTGTAATTTTTTAAAACCTTCTAAACATGTGGAATAGGATTTCACCTGATCAGCAGTCTGGTGTCATTATCAAATTCTTCTCTTCTTAATGCACCACACATTTCCATTATGAGATTGATCTGAACTGTTGGCATGTACTCTACTCAAGCACATGCACTCTGCCTTGAGTTAAGCCACACTATTGCAAGTCATACAGAAGGTCTGGAACAATTATGTTAGAAAAGACAAAACTGTAATGGTGGTGTTTATCCTTCACAGTCATGCTCACAATTTTTTACGGCAGTAAAGTTACAGGTTTTAACATCACTGACTGTCTTTTTTTTATCCATATTTCGTAGAAGTTGAACACTTTTTTTTTCTTTTTCAAGAAAAAACTTAACATGGAGTAAATGCTACAACTTAATGATTCTATTCAGTCTGCTGGGTTTCCTTAAATAGAATAGAACATTTCACATTTAAATCCAGAATTCATTTTTGGTGACATGACATCAAACCCTGTCAATTTCTCTATGCCACTAATCCAGAAAGTTTAGATTAGAATGATTGCGTTGTTATAAACTGTAAGGTTTTTTCTGCAAAGCTCATGAAGAAGAATTACACAAAAAATATCAATTTCCCCCTGAGCGCTCAGTATTTGACAAAGATTAATAAAGCTGGTTTGTATTTGTTCATAATGTGTTTTCAAGGCTTCCCTAACCTCATATTAAAGATTAGTAATATTAATATTCTGCTTTTGTTGTTGGGAGTGATTAATCAGACAATCTCCTTGTGCAGAAAAATGGATCCAAAGATAAAAAAGTATTTAATAAATAAAGACAAAGCACAAAATAGATGGGGGGAGAGGGGGAAGAGTTGCTTTCAAACAATACTGAAAATTATTTTATCTACTGTGGGGCTCAAAGGATTCCTATTTCTAGATAGAAATAGACTCCTCACTGACTGGAAGTCGGAGTTGTACAGGCTGAAGAGAAATGGGGAAGGTCCCCTGTGGTAATCCAGAGCTGGTGACCACCCTCACCGACACACAATCCCTCTGTCACACAAACTGCTATCAGTCAGCTGGTGAATAATTCAGGAGGTTTTGGTGGAATCCATCTGGATCTGTTGGAGCTTCTCACATGGCGGTGCAGGCTGACCTGTGTTCATAAAATCATGTTACTGACACTGCTGCCTTCTTTACATGAATAGGAGTGACAACAAATTCTACTCTGAAGATCCTGAATAGCACAAATGAAATAAAAAAAATAAAATAAAAACAATTTTGTTGCTGTCAGTTAACTGACTCATTTACATATTTGAACTTGTGTAGATTTTTGAGTGGAAAATACAGATTACAAGCAATTCCTAGTTGTTCCTTAACAAAAATCAACCCACAAGCATTTTAAACAGATATGATGTAATATTTACATGTTATTTATTAGTTAATGGAATGTGTATTGAAGCAACATCCAAAGGACATCAGCCAAGAAGTTCAATATAGAGTGAAAAATTGTTTTCCAGATGGACAAATGGACACTTTGTAACTTTGTTACAGAGTGGCTGAAGGACAAGAAAGTCCATGTTTTGTTGAGGCCATCATAAAGCCATGACCCGAGTCCTGTCAGGAGGAATGGGCCAGAAACCCAAAAGATTTCATACAAAATACAGAGGAGATGTATGTAAATTTCTGATTTTGAGGACATTAATAAATACATTTCTGACATATTCACATTCTCATTATTGTGGAATAAAGCAAATTGAATTGATCTTGGTGTACTTCTTTTGGTTTCAACTGTAAAAATGTCTGAACCAGAGAGAAGCTAAAAGAAATCAACATTTATTTGCATTTTGGATGATTTGAAGCTAATCACACTCTAATTCTACAGTACATGTTTGGGTGAAAGTTGCTTTATTGCTTTAAATAATGACAGAATGAGAAACATGTTTCAATCGGCTGGTCTTGCTAGTGATTGGTTAAACTGGTCTCTAAACAGACATGGCAAATCATGCTGGGTTTGTGTTGCACTGCCAGTTCTGACCCAAACGCAGTGCAGTCTGTTTTCCACCTGTTCTGGTCAATTGCTGCAGAGCTTTTTCAACCTCTTTAATTCAAACAGCAGCTTATGCTTGTTGAATCCATTAATTTAAGTTTTTAAATGATCTTGGCTCAGAGATGAAAGGTCCTACCCACACATAACAAATTAAATTATGGCACAAGTCATAAACACTATTGCATATAAAAACCAACCAGAGTTTCTGTTAATATAAGACAATATGTGGCATAAAAATGACTTCATTTAGGCCTTTGTATCAGTGTCTGTCACTAGGTGAGCTAGTATTCCATTTACATGACTCACAATTCCCCTCGGTCTTTAAGGAGCTTTCAGACTACTAAATAATTCACTCTTCACAAATCATAGAGCAGATTTCAGAGCAGATGCTCAAGTTTCATATTTTGTTTTGTAAAAACCTGATATAGGTTTTTTCCAACCTCAGAGGAACAGCCCTGTTCTCCTGCTCTCGTCTGTCCAGCCTCTGCTCTCCTTATCGCTGCCTCCCGGTCCCTGCAGAAATGTTTCCAATGGATCGTGATGCGTGGACTCCACTTCTCTGAGGGTTTGGTACAATTCTGCCTGTTTTCCTAATTCAACACAATGGTCTGACACCTTATTTAAAACGCCATGAGAGCCCCGCTCACTTTGAAATGACCTGACAGAGAGACAGCATATTGCAATATTTCTATTTTTATTGTCAAATTGTATCTATTTTTATTTTGAAATCACTTGTGACTGTGTATTGATAAGTTTTTTTTTCATGTTTGCCTCTTCTTTTTTGTTATTGCATTACTACAGCATTTTATTTTCTGAGGACCTTTTCTCTGTTTCTTCAGACCAAACTGTTTCTCATTGCAGATGCTGGTATCTCAGTCTTCTGATGTTTGTCTCAACCAGGGAATTTTTAATTCGCCAGTATTTTCTTATTATTCTTCAAAAGAGACATTATAAATACATGAAGGCTTAAGTGGCTAAATATTCTGGTTTTAATTTTAGAGAAGACGGTTCATCTTTGAACCTGGATATCTTGATAAATATTTGGCCTCCAGTAATATTGTAAAGACCTTTACTGAACAGGTTTCCAGGATGTTCGATATTTACCTGCACATATTCCCCAAATCAAAAATATCCTGCCCCTGTGCGATTCATATAACACATAACATGCATTTCTCATTTTTATTGTGATTCCTTACTATCATGAATGAGTATAATTTCTCATTTGGTTTGCTTCACGTTCACTGTGAGCTTTTAAAACCAGACCAAGCTGGCTGGACAACATCATGCACAATGGCTGATTGTTAGTTCCACCGTCACAAGTTGCTCAGTGTGAGCAGCAGGCAAGTCAGCAAGTTGTTCTGTGTACATGAGATGAATGCAAAAGAACAGAAAAATAAGGGAGAAAGCAAACTGCAGGCATACTGCAGCACACCAGCCTGAAGCATGACTGACCCTGCAGTCTGACTGGAAACATTAATTAAATATATTCAATTCCTTCTTTTTAATCTCTCTCTCATACACACACACACACACCACACACCCACACACACACACACACACACACGCACACATCCAATGATCAGAATAAAATACAAAAATCAAATCAGTAGATACTCTAACAAGTTCACCTCAACAAGAGCACAATTCCAAATAGAGCATGAGACTGTTACCAGCTTGGTGATTGGGCCTGTGGGACACTTAAATGAGCATTTAACTGAGCCGATCAATATAGCTTCCTCCTGACAAACCTCATTAACTGCTACTGCAACAAGAGAGCTGACACACTCTGGGCATGTTTACACGAACACACAGATTCTGGGTGTGAGGAGACGGAAGGTTTATATTACTTCTGGGTGCCGACTTTGTTTCCTTCTTCCTTCGTAAGAAGGAAACGCTCATTTGATTTGTTCAGCTGTTAGTTGACAGTGTATTTGTCAAATCTGTTTAATTCACACAGTACTGTTTATACATATTGGTAATTTAAAGTTTGTTATGTAAAAAGTAAAGATGGTGAAAGAAAAAAACAGTGAGCAAAATAACATTATAACATAATGGGTCTTATGGGTTGATTTAAATATTTAGGCAACTAAAAATTTTGTGACAAGCTATAATCAAATGCACAGATATAATTGGCTAATATTTATCACTGTGTTTAATAAAACAAAATAATATGAGTTTCCTTTGTCCAATTCAATTAATAATAAGAATTTTTTTTTATCTTCTAATAAATTCATATGTGCATATATATATTATCAGACTTTCACAAAAGACTAAGACCTGAAAAAGTTCCTAAATTATCTAGAAATGGCATGATTTAACACAGAAGAAAAAATGCATATGAAGGAAGTCATGACATTACCACACTGTCAGCATTTACCAAATCATTTTCCTTGCTGTTTCCCACTTCCTGGTGATTCTCATCTACTCTCTCCATTCTCTCTGCTTCAGCAGTGCCTGATCCTGCAGCAAAAGGCTACAATCAAACTAACCAGGGCCCATGCTAGAGTCAGGATGCAGCTACGCGGCATGCTAGCATCACACCAAGTCAAGCCAGTAGTCACAGAAATGCTGCTATCACTAATCACCATTTGCTACCTCAACCTCCCTCACTACCTCATCTATGCTTCAGCCACAACCACAGTATATTTTAGCATTAAATGAGCCTTAAGAGGCAGCACTGAAGGATTCTTAGGAGGTAGCACTGAAGAGGTGAAAAGAAAAATCCACAATAGTTTTATTGGCGCAGAGCAAAGATCCTCAACCTTCTTCTGCTGTGGTGCCT